TATACACTCCACCAGGCACCTTCGGGTACAAATATCTGATTTGCTCAGACGACGGAGACCCAGGGACAGAGCGCGATTCTAGAATGTGGATACCACCATGGCGGTTCGTGATTGGCAGCGGGTTCCAGCCATATTTGACACTTGTCACAGTGCAATTGAGCCGAGATTACTGTACCCTCGTCAGCATGCACAGCCGAGACTATGCGGAACCTTTATACACTCAATTGTGCAGCCCTTATCGGGACGACATATGTCCCGTTATGAACATAACCAAATGCGATTAACAGCGATGTAACATTTCGGTCACTCACCTTGACGCGGATGGATTTATTTCGACTTCGTTTCAGTTACACCATTGAATTATTGTCGAACACTGAACGTATCGACGATGAGTGGAGCATCCAAATTAAATGATGTAGATTGATGTTTAGGGCGATGCGGCGTGAAAGTTCCTAAATAGTAGAACTATACCAGGCAATGTAACAGTGTACCGACGTACGCATTCATGCGCACAATATCTCGGAACCCCAACTGACCCGGGCATATACTATACAGGGTACGGAAAGGTCACTAACAGATTAGCTTTCAGGGCACAAACATGTGGTTTCAAGAGTGCACAACCGTGGTAGCCTATGAGGTGTACCCACGTCATTGCGCAATCAGTAGCTTCTGTGGCCAATCCACGCCTGTCAGGGCAAAGAGGGAGTGGCCAGCTGGCGCCGATGCTTTTCTCACGCTAGACTCACTCATTGTCAATTAGCAGGTACATTGGACGTTGTACCCGCCAAACCTACCAGCTATATCATATGCCGCCATTTGTAGCAGACGCCACTTTACTTCCATGGCCGCTCTAAAGGATCTCTTGTCGCGCCTTGGCGCACCTCCCAGCGACGTCTACATATTTGTAGAGGTTTCTCTCCTACCTGCTCTGCAGCCATACCTGCATCCGTTCGTCGGGCGCAATGGGAATGATATGAAGAGGCTGTCTATCGGCCTTCTCTATTCCGCAGACGGCGCGCATCGCTTCAGGCTCATTGTAGTGAGCACCGATCACGAGCCACTGAGGCTGGGCCACGATGTCAGCGGCGACCAGTGGGCATATATCCGCCGTACTCGGTCCGGCCGCATAACCCCCCAGGTAATGGTGAAATGTACTATAGATGACATGCAAAAATGTCTCTTATATATGGACTCAAGACGTTGGTGCTCAATATATGTCTCTGTGATACTCTATGTTGTTACGTGCAGCTTTTCACGCAGTTCATGCTAGGCCTCAACGCTGCGAAATTTGCAGAGGACCGTGACATCGTCGTCCTTGTGTCCTCGCGTAGGCACAAGCTCACTTGGGGAGAGGGCAAGCGAGAGCCGAGTGGGCCCTTCATGGTGCACCACCTAACCCATACTCGCATTGTGCAGCTTCATGATACTGTACCAGACGTGGGGAACCCCGTCGTGCAAGGCATTGTCACATTCTTCAGGTCCAAATTCCGCACAATGTGGGTGGACCACCAGACTCGCTTCATGAGGCGCGTGCCTCCAGCTTGGGTGTGGACCAGCAACTTTCCATCGGCCGCGAACACGTTGCAGTGGACATACCAGGCACTGTGGGGGGTGGCGACATCTCACATTCACCTCGCGTTTTGGCGCACCGGTTGCTTCCCGGACGAGTGGCTGCCTCGGCTTCACGCGATCATCCGCGACCTGCATGTCGAGGTTGTGGAGCAGCTCGTCGCTAGCCTCACGGGCCTGCAAAGGAGGCTGGACCAGTTGGACATCCCCGACTGCGTGATGGAAGCATTGGACTACGCAACTTGGGATGACACCATGGACGAGGATACGGCCGAACGTGTTCCTAAGCCGGTCATCCGTCGGATTGATCATTCAAGCAGTGTCGGCCGCGTCAAATGGGACGACAGGACTCGCCGCCGGCTCATGCGTATGGCATCTGATGCGTATACAAGGCTTGCTAGCGCGACGGGAGTAGCTCCGAGTGTCGTCGTCACTCTTAAGCGCTTGGGGAACCCGGACCTCGTTGACCGACTGTTGCGCACACCAGAGAAAAAGGTTAGGAGGCATTCATACGCGCCTTCCTCGTCCATGTCTTCCACGGCCAGCGAGGAGATATGCTTCAACTCCCCAACGGCATCCCTGTCTAGCGTGCATGGGGATATTGAGTATGGGATGTAGTAACTGATGGTTGTATTGATCTCAATAACCGTTGTATTTGTCAAATAATACGCACATCGTCTATCATTGTGTACGTAACGAGATTGTTCACGTTGGGGATATAGGGATTTCCACGCTCAATCCGAGAGCGAGTATAATGTTCACCTCCCCGATATGGCACAATCTGAAGAAAGCGCGAACTAATTTTGCAGTTTGTGCTCGGTACACCCAGTTGACCATGAAAGCGTGCAAACACTCCACAAACCACTCCACACCGCTTCCAATCGTCCCAGCAGCCCGTTCCTCGATTCCCGTAGGACGGACACTTACAAAACCCTAACGTCCGCCTAATGTTACTGATTTTAGTTGGTAGTGGCATGATGAGCGCAACGCGTAGTAAAGCGCGCGACGTGCTGGAGCCTCGTCGGCGCAACGGGATCATTGAAGTTGCATCGATCGAGCGTATTGTCCACGTGTGCAAGTCCTTTACTAATCCTAGAGTCAGGCTAATCAATAGGTTTGCACTCATCGACTAATGGATTTGAACGCATTGCGACATGAATAACTAGATGGCCCTAAGTGTGGCCCTAAACATGGAGTAATAAAGTTGTTTTGATATGGAAGTGGGATATGGCCGCGTTCACTGGTGAACTTGATAAATTGAAGTCACAATTGTAACTGCAAAGTAGCGTTGGAGACACTTCAGTGTTGTTGCTGCAATGTCACTTTGGCCACTCAGCTGTAAATGTGCGCGCCGAAGCTTTTCCGAAGGTTTTCCGAAGCTTTTCCGAAGGTTTCCCGCAGGAAAAGCTACCGTGTACATTTTGTGCAAACTCGGAATTTCGCGATGGAGATTTGCTTCAGAATAATCACCACGGTCGAAGTTTAGTCCGGGCAGCATGCAGCGCGGATTTCGACTAGCGGAGCCGCTCATAACTCGGGAGGCGAGGATTTTACGGGGCTTCCTTCTGCTGACAGCCAACCCTAATGCCTCCTTTCTCTCTCTCTCGCGTCCTCTCGGCTCGTAACCTACAAAGTCGAGTTGCCAGCAATTCAGTCTTTGATTCCACAAGTTCGCTTTCAGATTTTGCTACAAGCTCCAGTCTCCAGTGCTCCAATCTTTCCAATAATTCCGTGCTTCATCCAAGCTTCGACAACACCACCGCAGCCACCCTCGTGAGCAACACCGCATCTGCTGAGAATCCATCGTTCGCCGACGCGCTGAGTTTCTGGAAATCCCGCGCTGCAGTGAGGCGGACGCGACTTCACCAGCCGCTGACCTGCTCAACTCCGTCTGCAACCGTAAAGGACGAGCTCTCGCAAAATGAGTGCGAGAAGAAGGAGGTCAAGCAGATCAGCGGCTCCAGCAATGGCACCGACGCGACGCTCCGGTGAACAACGTTGTGAACTCCAGCTGTCATGATCATCTTTCAACCTGTCACTCCAGCTGCTGGAAGCAATCAGAGCGGTGCTGTCCAAGCACGGAGCGTCATCATCATCTTTCAACGGTCATGACAGCGTTGTGAACAACCTTGTCAGAAAACATGCTCTTTTCCTTTTCGCTACGACGAGCAGAGCCATGGGTTGTGAGAGGTCCGACGAGAGCAGCAGCGTCAGCGCTGTTACCACCGCCTGCAGCATCAGTGATTCGGTTCCTTCCCGGAAGCCGATTGCTAACTTGCCCTGCAGCCTGGGTTGCGTCAGCGTCGCCAGCACCACCTGCAGCAGCAGCAGCAGCGATTCAACTGATGACTTGAGCTGCAGCAGTAGAGCTCTAACAGGGGTAGCACCATGAGCATTGCCAGCACCACCTGCAGCAGCAGCGATTGGCGTCTTGAGCAGCAGTAGTGGCAGCTCTAACAGGGATAGCACTATGAGCGTTGCCAGCAGCAACTGCAGCAGCGATTCAAGTGATGGCTTCACCTGCAGCAGTGGCGGCTCTAACAGGGACAGCACCATTGGCGTTGCCAGCAGCAACTGCAGCAGCGATTATCGAATCCCATCATTCGTGTCTGCTGTGGAGGTTGCAGCTGTAACGCAATACGTGTCAGTGACAAACCCTAAGGTGGTAACCCGAGTGCCTACTGCGGCTTTAAGGCTGCTTCCGTCTCTCATTCCCAAGCCAAGAGCGGCAGTGAAGGCTGCTGCAAATGAGGCGTGGAGATGAGGCTTTGGCTGTCCTACAGCAGCAGGAAGACGTTGGGAGAAGCGCAAGGCAGCATCAGGGCAGGGAGGGTGGTGTGAGTCGCCCTTCGAGACAGACTGCCAGGATGACCCAGGTTGCAGTGGCTTGCTGGGGTTGCAGTGGCTTGCCAGGATGTCCACCGTGGATGGACAGAGCAGAGCAGGGAACAGGCAGGCAGGTAGCTTCAGACTGCTCCATTGCTTCTTTACTTTGTGCCTGAAATGTATATAATCTGCATGTGTGTACACTCTATTATGGTGCATTGCATGCAGCGCATTAATGAAACGCTATGGCAATTATTGTGCAGTGCAGTAACCACTTATTGATAGCTTGAAAACAGTGCAAGAAAACAGAAAGCATGCAGCTGTAGCACTTGCACTGCTAGCTTGTATTCACTGCCTTACTACCACGCACCATCATGCCACGGTAGCTGCTTTATTAGCGCGCACTCTCACGCGCACACCACCTTGATACAGCGCATCCCGTTAGCAGCAAATATCCCACCCTGTTCGCTCCCCATCTCACGGCAAACGTCTAAAAGTTCTTTGCTGCTCTCGTAGATCTCCCCGCCACGCCACTTGCTCAGAATCACGCCGCCCAGCACCATCTCATCACAGCGCGTTCCAATACTAGCAGCAGAAATCGACATCTAGAAGTTTTTGCTGCTCTTGTAGATCTGCCCAGCGCTCCACTGGCTCGGGATCACGCCGCCCAGCACCACCTGCTTCCCGCTGCCCGACACGCGCACGCTCACCGCGCGCCCCGCATCCACGACGCCCGTGGCGGGATTCAGCACCCACGTCGCGCCCCATCCGTTGTTCGTCATGCTCTTCCACTCTTTCCCGTCCTTGGATATCTCCACCTTCTCCACTCGTCCGCGCCTCGCCGCTCCGAAAATCTGAAGGGCGAAGTTGTATTTGCTGGCATCGGGCACGAGTCTCACCGCCATTCCACCGCTGCTAGAGCAATCCACGGGATCGTATGTGACCTCCACTTGCCCGCCCTGGCCGCCCACGAGTTTGTTCCACGCGGGAGTATCGAGGTTGAAGTTCTCGCCGGCCTGCCCGATCGCTCGCACTTTCACGGAGCCGCCCTTGCATGCGCGGCCCGTGCAGGAAACTTCGTAGCACGTTCCGCAGCCCTTGCTGTTGTCGAACTTGCTCGCAGGAACCTGCGCAACCATGCCGAAATAAGGACTGTCGCGGAAGCGACCTTGGAAGTCGCGGTAGCACGTGCCTTCGCCACTCAGGTCGGCGGAGTTAGCCTGAACGGCGTTGGCAGGAGTGAGGGCGTAAGCGAGCAGGACGATTCCGACGCACAGCAGACTGGCGACCTTGGAAACGCGAGCCATCGGGAAAAAGGAGCAGGTCGAAAACCGAAGTTGGAAAAAGCGAGCTTGAATATGAGACAGCGGATGCTTATAGGGCAGTGGTTGATTTCGATGATAATAGGGTGAAGAAGCAGGAGATTTATATAGTTCCATGAGTGGGAGAGATTCAGAAGCTGCGACTTGGTGGGTTCAGCGCGAAGTGCGGCTTCGAGACGCCATGTCGATTTCCTCCCCTTGCTAGTAATGGGCGAGTGCTGTGGGATGGACCAGTGCTGCGGGATGGCAATAATTTCGAACTCCCCACAAGCTGACCGCGTGGCGACGGTAACGAAGTTGGACTGCCAGTTGCTGAGGGCATTTGTAATTCTTGTGTTACCACCTGTGAAATTCAGTTGTGATTGTGACTCGTCGCATATGCAAAGTTACCAGAATTCGGACTTCGTGCAATCTGAAATCTGGCATATCTGTTTCATCCGCCTTACAGCCAATGAGGAATGTTGCGAAGCTCCAATAATTGTCGAGCCTCTTGCCTCACCCAGGCGAAACAACGTCCCTTCTCGAAACCTATCGTCGAGCCGCCCGCCAACCAAACCTTTTACCTCATTCGTTACTGTCGCCACGAGGTCGTTTCGCGAAGAGCTCAAAATTATTGCCATTCCTCAGCATGGCGACTCGAAGCCGCACTTTGCGCTGAACCCCCCCAAGTCTTAACCAACTGCCTAATCTCTACCACTCACGCAGCTATATAAATTTCCTGCTGCTTCACCCGATCATCATCGAAATCGACCACTGCCCTCAAAGCATCCTCTGTCTGATATTCAAGCTCGCTTTTACCAACTTAGGTTTCCTCGCTGCTCCTTTCCCGATGGCTCGCGTTTCCAAGGTCGCCAGCCTGCTGTGCGTCGGAATCGTCCTGCTCGCTTTCGCCCTCACTCATGCCGACGCCGTTCAGGCTAACTCCGCCGACCTGAGCGGCGAAGGCACGTGCTACCGCGACTTCCAAGGTCGCTTCCGTGATAGTCAGTACTTCGGCATGGTTGCGCAGGTGCCTGCGAGCAAGTTTGACAACAGCAAGGGATGTCATATTGTCAATAAAACATTTATTTCCCTTCAAAACCCCAAGGTCCACAGGTTTCAGAGTTGAGAATGATACAGCTTCGTCCGAAAGCAGCAGGATAACTATATAAAAGTTCTCATAACATGTGACAGAACCTCTTCATACAACTGGTACATCATCTCATCCCAACCACAATCAATGTCCGGTATCCGTCCAACTCTTTGGGCTGATGCAGCAGCTCCATTGAATCAGATGTAGCAGCAACCCAGACATATCGGATGCAGCAGCGGTCCAGCCCTATCAGTGGAGTGGATGTAGCAGTAGTGAAACCAGCAGAAGCAGCAGCAGAAGCAGGAGAAACAATCCAGGAGCATGAGATGAGTGGCGTTCACTGTCAGTGGCGATCAGAGGCGGTCGGTCTCAGTGGCAAGGCGCCTGGCCTTGCTCTCCAGCAGCTTGACTGCCTCTGTGAAGAGCACGTTGGGGGGCAGTGCTCCCGTGCTCTCCACTGAGACTGTGGTGTGTGGTGAATGGAAGGTGGGAGGAGTGGGAGGGGGGACGAAAACGGAGAAAAGAGAGAAAAGGAAAGGTTGGGATTCCCTCCAGCAGGTTGAATGCGTCTGTGAATAGCACGTTGGGCGGCAGCGCTCCCATGCTCATTACTGAGACTGCGGTGTTGCAGTGGGGGGATATGGGGGGTGGGAGAGAGAGGAGAGGAGGGAGAGGAGAAAGGTGGAGGGAGGAACAGTAGTGCTCAAGTAATCACACTGGAAGAGCGGACCATGAGAAGGATAAGGGGTGGTTGACATGGTAAGGCATGGTGAGGGATGGTGAGGGATGGTGAGGGATGGTGTGACATGCTGAGGCATGGACAGGACACAGGAGACGGGGAGAGGGCTGAACAAAATAGCTGAATTTGGCGTGCGGCGGCACAAAATCGCATCGGGTTGTTTTGTTCAATGGCTCTATGTGTTGGCACGATGGACGGAAAAACGACATGTCAGAGAGAGGCGTTGAGAAGAAACAGTGTCGGTTGAAGGGATAGAAATATGACACAGAAAAAAGAGTTGTAGTACGACAACATTGACAGGAAGGGTGTTTTTGAGACGTCTCAAAAACACCCTCTCTACACAGAGTTGTAGTACGACAACATTGACAGAAACAATGCATGGGAAGAGCAACGGTGGTCTCACAAATGAAGTGGTCCCGTTTTCTTCTGAGCTGAATGTAGTCGCCCCACCCCTCCTCCCTGATGCACTCCCGACACACCGTGCAGTTGCGTGCACGTGGGGCTGTTGCCCTCTGGATGCCTGCATGAGTGGCAATAGGCCGGGGCAATAGAGCGGGGCAAGGGGGAGCATAATCATCATGATTGCCTTGCATAGTCTGCCATATATACCGTTCCCCATGTACACATGCATACAGTACCCCATCGCATCATGCATACAGTGCCCCATCGCATCATGCATACACTGCCCCATCACATCATGCATACACAAAAACCCCATCCTCACCATTGCCCATGTCTTCTATGTCACACATGTTCATGGGACACTTAGGGCATTTAATCCATTGTCCACCCACCCACCACCATCCATACATGCACCCCCCATGCTCACCATTGCCCATGTCCTCGATATCAAACACGTTCATGGGGCACTTTGCCACTAGCTGCTCTGCCATCTCCCCCTCCACTGCCTTGCGGAACACCACCTGCCATGGGGAAGGGGGAAGAGGCGGGGGAGGGAGAGGGGAGGGGAGGGGGTGAGGGTAGAGTGGGACAGTAAGACAGGGGGAGGCGCGTGAGTGAGAGTACGCGTGGAGTGCAAGAGGCATCTCGTACCATCTGCCCCTCCACCGCTTTGCGCAACACAAACACCACCTGGGAGGGGGAGGGGAGGTGAAAGGGATGCACATGAAAGGCAGGCATTGCGATTGAGAAGGGGCATACTTAGCCGCACCCATCCGCCCTCCATCCAATGGCCCACTGCCGCAGCCATCCGCCCTCCATCCAATGGCCCACTGCCGCACCCATCCGCCCTCCATCCAATGGCCCACTGCCGCAGCCATCCGCCCTCCAATGGCCCACTGCCGCAGCCATCCACCCTCCAACCAATGGCCCACTGCCGCAGCCATCCGCCCTCCAACCAATGGCCCACTGCCGCAGCCATCCGCCCTCCAACCAATGGCCCACTGCCGCAGCCATCCGCCCTCCAATGGCCCACTGCCGCAGCCATCCGCCCTCCAACCAATGGCCCACTGCCGCAGCCATCCGCCCTCCAATGGCCCACTGCCGCAGCCATCCGCCCTCCAATGGCCCACTGCCGCAGCCATCCGCCCTCCAATGGCCCACTGCCGCAGCCATCCGCCCTCCAATGGCCCACTGCCGCAGCCATCCGCCCTCCAACCAATGGCCCACTGCCGCAGCCATCCGCCCTCCAACCAATGGCCCACTGCCGCAGCCATCCGCCCTCCAACCAATGGCCCACTGCCGGAGACCATGTGTGTCAGGTGAGAGAGCCGCAAGTGCGTGTGTACGGTGAGAGAGCCGCAAGTGCGTGTGTACGGTGAGAGAGCCGCAAGTGCGTGTGTACGGTGAGAGAGCCGCAAGTGCGTGTGTACGGTGAGAGAGCCGCAAGTGCGTGTGTACGGTGAGAGAGCCGCAAGTGCGTGTGTACGGTGAGAGAGCCGCAAGTGCGTGTGTACGGTGAGAGAGCCACAAGTGCGTGTGTACGGTGAGAGAGTGAGCGAGGGTGAGGGAGACGAGCCTGAGTATGAGGGCGCAATGGTATAAAACGTGCCAGCCGGCCTTGTACTTCTCACAGGCAACAGTCACACATGGGTGCGTGAGAGCACAAGGGGGGCCAGTGGTGGCAAATCAGAGCGAAAGCGGGAATGGCTTGTGCATCAACTCTTGCCCCATGTAGAGTTGAGCACGTAGACTCACCCATGTAGACTCACCTATTGCCCTGTAAAACAGGATACACGCACTCACCTCTGGCAGCATGCGGTAGGACTCACCTCTGGCAGCATGCGGTAGGAGGCAGTAGCAACAGGTGACCACTTGGCGTGCGTGCGGCCGATGCCCTTCACTGCATGCGCCTCCAATTCGATGGCCTGGCGAGTTGGCAAACACAAGGGAAGAAGTTGAACGTGAAAAATAACACGGCTTCATCTGCCGCACTTAATGCTACCTACCTCCTCCCACTCCACTGCCATTCCCTTCACTGCATTCGCTTCCATAATCAATTTCCTGGCTCTGATGGGTGGACGAACGCTCACATACCTGTTGACTGCACTGCACTATCAATCACTACCACCCACCTGCTTTTGAGTCAACTCACAAGCAGGTCAACTCACAAGCAGACTCACAAGCAGACTCACAAGCAGACTCACAAGCAGACTCACAAGCAGACTCACAAGCAGACTCACAAGCAGACTCACAAGCAGACTCACAAGCAGACTCACAAGCAGACTCACAAGCAGACTCACAAGCAGACTCACAAGCAGACTCACAAGCAGACTCATTACACGCGGTTCATCTGTTGCATGCACTGCTCTGCACTATCAATCACTACCACAAACCTGCATTACACACCGCAAACTGTCCCACACACCTGCCGTACACACCGCAAACTGTCCCACACACCTGCCGTACACACCGCACACTGTCCCACACACCTGCCCGGGTCGCAGCCTGGCAAGGGTGATGTCGGGGTAGGTGGGGGCGGGGGGGCGAGTGGCGAAGTCATGCAGCTCGCTCTGCGGGCGACCAAAGGAGGTGAACTTGGTGGGGCGGTCGGGCGGGTACGTGCTACCGTTGGGCTGCCATACCAGATGCTTTGACTGCACCGTACCTGCATGTGGTGGGGTAGGTGGAGCGGAGGAGGGGAAGGGGGGAGGGGAACAAAGGGTGAATGGGCAAGCAAGGGAAGTCGGATAGGTGCTGCCGTGGGGATGCCACACCAGATGCCTCCACTGCACCGTGCCTGGGGTTGCACAGGAGGAGGTTGCAGAGGGCGAAGTGAGCGAGTGAGGGAGCAGTGACTGCGCCAGCTGCGGCCTTTACTGTGCCGTGCACGGAGCAGTAAAGGGCGCTGAGCCATGTAGGCCGAGGCTGCTGCACCACATGATGCCTCGACTGCACCATCTTTGCAATGCGATTGAGGGGAGGAGGATGTAAGGAAGGGAGAAGGGAGATAAGACAAGCAATGGATGGATGGAGCGAGGTGGAAGGGGAGGAAGCTGAGACTCTTGCAATGCCAGTACAGGAAGCCGCAAGGAAGGGGCAGGCAGAGCATGGCATACCGTGCATGCTGTGTGTGCAGGGGAAGGCAGGGCATGGCTGCGCGCCACCGTACCGTGTCTGGAGCCGTCAGCAGGCGGGTTGCGTGTGCACTTGTAGTCGAGCTTGAAGACGATGGTGTTGCTCTCACTCGCCATGCCGTCCTCTGTGTCCCCATGCCATGCCATGGCACCGTGTGATGCGATCGGGGGGTGCGATGCCAGAAAAGGTGGCACATACGAAGGGTGGGGTAAAAACACGGCGAGGAACCTTCAAAATAAGTATGGAGAACTATGCAGAAAGAAGAACACGGCAATAAGCATGGTGCAAGAAGAACAAGGTGTTCCTGGGAGCACAGCAGAAGGCCTTCACAGCCTGAGAATCACCTGACCGTGCACCTGGGAATCACCTGAGCGTCCACCTGGGGATCAGAAAAGCGCCCACCTGGGGACCACCTGAGCGGCCACCTGAGAATCACCTGAGGGGAAGTCGAAGAGGCGGGGGTCGACAGCGATGGGCACAAGGCCGAGGCGATGCGAGAGCACCTCGTCCTGCACTAGAGAGGTGTTGTTCGCCATGAACACCTTCTCTATCGCCATCGTTGGTACCTGCATGAGGGGGGGAGGGAAGGCAAGAGGGAGAACAGGGCAATGAGGGAGTAAGACCGACACACACGAGAGCACCTCGTCCTGCACTAGCGACGTGTTGTTGGCCATCAACACCTTCTCTATCGCCATCGTTGGTACCTGCACGGTTGAACAAGAGGGGAGGTAGAGGAAAGGGAGGGAGGGGGTGGGATGGGACGAGCACCACACAACGATCAGCGATCAGCGTGCTGACCTCAGCAACGCGCATGCTGACCTCAGCAACGAGAGTGCTGATCTCAGCAATGAGCATGCTGACCTCAGCAACGAGCGTGCTGACCTCAGCGATGAGTATCCGACGGAAGGCGTTGGCGAGCGCAGCATCGATGCCGACGAGGTCAAAGACGAGATCGTGGCCGTCCGCTGACTGCGACACGATCTCCACCGTCAATTCCCGTCTGAAGCGCTCCAGAGTCATGCTGTTGTCCACGCCCAGCGCGGCAAAGGCGCCTGAATACTGCAGCGCGTGAGTCTGCAGCAGTGGGGAGGGAGGAGGGGCGAAGGGGGGAAGAAGGTGGTAAGGAATGATGCTGGAATGGGGGAAACGCCCCACTTTGCATCGCTGCAGCCTGCAGGATCATGCAGTCATACTGTTGTCCACCCCCAGCGCGTCAAACACACCCGAATACTGCAACGCGCGGATTCATTGGGGGAAGGAGGAAAAGGTGGCGGGGGGAACGGAGAGTGTGGGGGGATGGGGAAGAAAGAGGGGAAGGAGAAGCAAAGCGGATTAACCGTCAGCGCGCAGCCTCCAGGCTTATGCTGTTGTCCACTCCACTCCCAGGGGAGCGAACGCACCTAATTACTGCAGAGCGTGGGCTTGTGTTGGGGGTGAACGGGAGGTTGAATGGGGAGAGTTAGAGTGGAGGAGACGGGAAGTGCATTCGCCTTTCTACACCCATCTGAACCGCTGCAGCCTGCAAGCGCTGTGCTGTCGCCTCCATCAGAAAAGCAAACACGCCAGATCAGAACTGTGCATGCAAAAGGGCGAGGGGGAAGGGGTGACGAATCAAGGGAAGGGAGAAAGGTGGAGAAGGAGAAACAGGAGGACAAAAGGAGGAAGAGGAAAGGCGGAGCGGGACGGAGGGTCATGAAAGCGGAGGCGGAAATGGGAGGGGGGGAAAGGAGGGGCCAGCATCAGCATCAGCACCAGCATCCACGGTGCCATCTCGCCTGCACCGCACGTGCCGCGCCCTCGTGGCTCTCCAGCCACCCCTCTGCGCCATATCTGCTCGCCGCTGTGCCAGGACCCTAACCACTTGCCAGAAACGTAAACCCGGAACCCTGACCAGGGCACAAACCCTGAACCCTTGGAATCTGCTCGGGAACCCTCAACGTTGCCTAGAAATACCAATAACCTGTGTATTTCTTCCAATCCCTCTAAGCCGTTTAACCGTCTAAACCCTCGATCTTGCCAAGCCCTTTTCCCGTTTCTCGCCAACGCCCTTCCCAACGGTCGTTCTGCCTCACGCACGCTTCTCTTCCTCTTACGCGCAACCACTGCACCTTCCGCGCAACTCTTCCGCCCTCGACCCCTCCCATCCCCCCTCCGCCGCGCACCTGTTTCGGCGCGTCCATGTCGCAGATCACGCGCGAGCGCAGCTCCTCCAGGTGCGGCGGAAGGCTTCCGCTCCCCCCTTCCCCCTGTTGCGCCTTCTTCTTCTTCTTCCCCTTCCGCGCCTCCTGCGCGCCGCTCCCAGCGCCCGCGCTGCTCGTTTCCATCGGCTCCGCCGCGGGCGCGTCGACGTCCTTCCCCGGCATCGCTCCGCTTGTGCGCGTAAGGGGGAAATACGCGGAGAGGAACTGGCGACAGAGAAAGCCTGCGTGGAGACGGGAAGCGGAAAGGTTGCAGGCGGTGGCGGAGGATACCGGCGCTCGGAGCGGACCCGCTAGAACCGTCTTGGAGGAAATGCGTTGCTTGAAATGATATTTCGTATACTTGTGAAGCTTCAGAAACGATGGATATGTAACGGCGTGAGTCCCGCTAGTGCTCGGGCAATGATTCCCACCAAGAGAGTCGTGAAAACAAGGTGTGGAAACTAGTCAACGAGCTTTAAGAGTTCGCGCTCAAATGCAGCACCAGACAAGCTTAGGGTTACCATCTATGTCGCTAAATCGCGAACCCGTTCCGCCGTGTGGGTTGTGTAACGAGTGAGGTTCGAGTGGAATTTGATTTGCCAGACTTTCGCCGAACCAGAAATTGTTCAGACTTCAGGCTGCGATTGCCCTTCGAGTTTCCGAACCTCTCAGAGCGGTACAGTAACGAATGCTGCGAAACGACTAGTCGCACTGGCGAACCTGAAGTACACGTTACCATACAACTCCGAACCCAACATCCTGTTCCCGGCTTCATTTCGCAAAAGTGAAATTGAGCAAGTGGAGCGGCTGCGATCGAGACACGGCGGGAAGAACGCTCTGGCTGCTAATATTAGCGGAAGGTAATGGAAACTCCGAAACGCTAGGGCAGTGCGCTGTCGGACTCGTAGTTACTATGGTGGAGCCATTTAGCTGTTCGAATAGAACCCCACGGAGTCGCGCCGAGTAGAATCTGCCGCTGTGATTCGCCACCCGACGGCTGTAGTTTGGGGCTCGCCAACAATCGCAACAATCACCTCAGTCGCCAACAATTGTTACAGTCGCGAACAGTCGTCAACAATCGCCAGTAGTCGCGAGTGGTTCTTATGGCGGCCAATTTCTGGCAGTCCTCTCACAGGTGCGACGTTGGGACGTCCGTGCGACATCGCAGCACGACTTCGGATAGTTATCTCTCTTCCTCTCTCTCTCTCCCCTCTTCCTCTTCCCCTCGAATGGTCTCTCTTTCCCTCTCTCTCCCGCACCCCTTTTTCTCCTCCCCACCCCCCACCCACCGTTAATTTCACGCGTCTGCTGCAGCCTGCGCTGCTGGCTGCCCTGCTCCTTCCCGCGACCCTTTCTTCGCCCTCATTTCGTGTCTGACTCTCACGCTTTCCCCGTTTTCCTCCCCACCCAACTCTTTGCCCCTCTCCCCACCACTTCCCCTTTCTCGCCTCACCCTTGTCCCTTCCAACCCCACACCTCCCCCCCCCCCCCCGGCCCGCGGCTGCTCATTCGCATTCCCCCCTCCCTGTCCCCCCTTCCCCTTCCCCTCCCCCAATCCCCCCCAGCAAGCAGCTACTGGACCCAGGCGCAGTGGCGCGCTTGCTGCATGCGGAGGACGACCGTATGGGCCTCTCGCCCTCTGACGTGCGCCTGGTCAAGCTGCACATGTGTGACCGTACGTCTGTAATATCCCATGCACATGCGTGCATGCTTCCGAACAAACATGCGTTTCTGATGATTTCTTGCGTCCATCTCACTCCAGCTGTTCTTCCTTCCTTCGTTCCTTCCATTCCTCTCCCTTCCATTCCCCCCCATCCGCTTTCGCCGTTCGTCGCCGTTCGTCTGTGCCTCTCTCATTGACAGACCTGGCAGTCTTGGCTCACCGCCTCAACCTCCGCCAGAGGCAAGCACACCACCTCTCACCACCACCTTGCACCGCCTCACGCCGTATCGCTCACAGTTTCCCTGCATTGTTCCTGCGTTCACTGTGTCTTGTGCCAGTCCATGGGGGAGAGTGTGTGAGACTAAGTGCCACTGTCTCATGCTGTCACCATCGCCCACCCTCACACCTCTCGACCTCCCGCAATCGCCCATCCCCACCTCACGCCCTGCCCACCTCACGTCCTGCCTTCTCTTGTTGCGTGGCAGGGTTGTGGCCACCGCCATTGCCTACTTCCGCCGCGTCTATGTCAAGTGAGTGGCAAGCCGTGTGCAGGGCGCAATGAGTGATGGGATGTTGGGAAGGTGATGGTGGGATGGGACAAGGGGACCATGTGTGGCCGGGTCGTGACCACCGCCATTGCCTGCTTCCGCCGCGTCTACGTCAAGTGAGTGGCGAGCCGTGCACCGGTTGCGCTGAGTGATGAGATGGTGGGGTGATGGGATGATGATGGAGCGTGTGTTTTTTGAGAAGGTGATGGGATGATGATGGAGTGTGTGTTTATTGAGAAGGTGATGGGATGATGATGGAGCGTGTGTTTTTTGAGAAGGTGATGGGATGATGATGGAGTGTGTGTTTATTGAGAAGGTGATGGGATGATGATGGAGCGTGTGTTTTTTGAGAAGGTGATGGGATGATGATGGAGTGTGTGTTTATTGAGAAGGTGATGGGATGATGATGGAGCGTGTGGTTTTTGAGAAGGTGATGGGATGATGATGGAGTGTGTGTTTTTTTAGAATTCTAAAAAAACACACAGTGATGAGATCGTGGGGTGATGGGATGATGATGGTGGGATGAGACGAGGGGACCATGCGTGGCAGGGTTGTGGCCACGGCCATTGCCTGCTTCCGCCGCGTCTACGTCAAGTGAGTGGCCAGCCGTGCGTGCACGGCACGCTGAGTGAGGGGGTGATGGGTGGCGGGGCAATGGGGCGATGGGGTGGTGGGGCGATGGGGCGATGGGTGTGTCACCTTGGAGAATTCTCACAAGGGGACGATCCGCCCAGCAGCAATACTCAGGTCTTGCTGAGACCTGCCACTCCCCACTTCCACCCCTTTCCCCCTCCCTCCCATCCCCCCTTCTTCCACCCCTTTCCCCCATCCATCCCATCCCCCTCCGTACCCTGTAAGAAGCGAGTCGTTTACCGAGCTGTGACCAGCCGCTCTTTTCTCCCACATCCCCTCCCCACTCTCCCCTCTCACCCCATGCAGCAAGTCATTCGCAGAGGTGGATCCGCGCCTGGCAGCGCTGCCAGCACTCAAAACCCTGCCTGCCCCATCCCCCTGCTCATCCCCCTCTCTCCATCCTCCCCCCCCCCCCCCCCCCCCCCCCCCCCCCCTCTCTCCCCCCTGCGAGCAGGAAGTCGTTTGCGGAGGTGGATCCGCGACTGGCAGCGCCGGCAGCACTGTACGTGGCAGCCAAGGCGGAGGAGTGCACGGTGCAGGCTGTGAAGCTGGTGCACCGCATGAAGAGCCACGCGTGTGAGATGGGAGGAGCGTGGAGAGGAGAATGGAGAGGGGAGAGTTGAAAGGAGAGGAGAGGGATGCAGAGGAGTGCACTGTGCAGGCGGTGAAGCAGTGAGGCATGCGTGTGAGACAGAGAGGGCATGTGGGATAGGGCTGCTCGCCTGGGCTGTGCATATCATGTTCTTTGCAACCATGATTCTTGAAGTTATGATTGTTGAGATGATTGCATTTGCGCGTGCTTGTCCTTCTGTGTGTGCATATGCTGCATGTATGTGCATGCGTGTGCATGTATGTGCATGCGTGTGCATGTATGTGCATGCGTGTGCATGTATGTGCATGCGTGTGCATGTATGTGCATGCGTGTGCATGTATGTGCATGCGTGTGCATGTATGTGCATGCGTGTGCATGTATGTGCATGCGTGTGCATGTATGTGCATGCGTGTGCATGTATGTGCATGCGTGTGCATGTATGTGCATGCATGCATGTGCAATCATACATGCACGACATGCATGTGTGGGCATGGCGCCATGGGGTATGAGGTGAAAGACGTACTAGCCATGGAGATGCGGCTGCTGCTGTTAGTTATGAATAATAATATGCTCCCTCTGTGTGTGGTGTGTGCGTGGATGCGTGCGTGTGCAGCAGGCATGTGCGGGCATGGCGCCATGGGCTACGAGGTGAAGGACGTACTAGCCATGGAGATGCGCCTGCTGCAGGCGCTCTCCTTCAACCTCATCGTCTTCCACCCCTACCGCCCTCTCTCCACGTCTGTTCTCTTGCCTTCTCACCCCTTCTTGCTCCTTCTTGCTCCTTCTTGCTCCACATCGTCTTCCACCCCTACCACCCCTCTATGCGTCTGTATCCCTTCACCTTTCCTCTTCTTCTCTCGCTTCCTTCTTGTCTTTCACCCGAGCAGCCCCCTCACCACGTCAGTACCCCCCCACCTAAGACAATTCTGGAATGTGACTGTGACTCCACCGCCCGTCTTCTCTCTCTCTTCTCTCGTTTCCCCCTCGTGCATCCCTCATGCATTCAGTGCATCCCTCATGCATTCAGTGCATCCCTCATGCATTCAGTGCACCCCTCATGCATTCAGTGCACCCCTCATGCATTCAGTGCATCCCTCATGACCTGCACCCACTCTCCGCTCTCTTCTGCGCTCGCAATCGTGTCTTGTGTTCTCTCTCTCTGCCTTTCGTCTGCTGGCGCCTCACCCTTTCCTGTCACGTCTCGTCCGCTTGTCGCCCCTACTCCTCCGTTCCCTTGTGAATAATGACATGGGGCACGGGTGTGATATCGGGGCAGGTACTTGGAAGACGTCAGCAGAGAGCTAAGCCTCTCTGCGAATGCGAAGGAGGAATTCGCTCAGATGGCTTGGTGGGTGAAACTGTGTGAGAGTATGTGTGTGAGTACGTGAGCATGGGGAGTGCGGGAGTGTCTGTGTATGATGTGCTTTAGCATGAGCAGAGAGCTAAGCCTCTCTGCGAATGTGAAGGAGGAGTTGGCTCAGATGGCCTGGTGGGTGCCACAGCCGTGTGCGTGTGTGAGTGTGTGTGTGTGAGTGCGTGTGTGAGTGCGTGTGTGAGTGCATGTGTGAGTGCGTGTGTGAGTGCGTGTGTGAGTGCGTGTGTGAGTGCGTGTGTGAGTGCGTGTGTGAGTGCTTGTGTGAGTGCGTGTGTGAGTGCGTGTGTGAGTGCGTGTGTGAGTGCGTGTGTGAGTGCATGTGTGAGTGCATGTGTGAGTGCGTGTGTGAGTGCGTGTGTGAGTGCGTGTGTGAAGTCCATACATGTGCCTCACCACAGGCTTGTCTCCCTGCCCCTTGCCATCCCCACATGCTCTTGGGCGCCCACCATGCTCTTGGGCGCCCACCATGCTCTTGGGCGCCCACCATGCTCTTGGGCGCCCACCATGCTCTTGCGCGCCCACCATGCTCTCACGCCTTCTTGCTTCCATCCCGCATTCCCATCACCATGCCTCGCAAACCCTCCTCTCCTCCCCTGTCCCCTCACTCCACCTTCCCTCCACCTCCCTCTCCCCCTCCCCCCCCACTCCTCCCTCTCCCCACTGCTCTTAGCTCAATGGTGAATGATTCATTAAAGACGGACCTGTTGCTGTGCAGCTGTGCCACCCGCCGTTCCCTCATGCACTGCACGCACCGTGCCCCTCTCCCCCCCCATTCTCCCCCCCATTCTCCCCCCCATTCTCCCCCCCATTCTCCCCCCCATTCTCCCCCCCATTCTCCCCCCCATTCTCCCCCCCCATTCTCCCCCCCCATTCTCCCCCCCCATTCTCCCCCCCCATTCTCCCCCCCCATTCTCCCCCCCCATTCTCCCCCCCCATTCTCCCCCCCATTTCCCTCCTGCCACATCCCTCAAGTCAATGGTAAATGACTCATTCAAGACGGACCTATCGCTGTGCCACCCGCCATGCCCTCATGCACCCCATTCCCCTCGCTTTTCAAGTAACTTCCCCTACTCCCCCACACAATTCCCCATCGCCCTTAGGTCAATGGTGAACGACTCATTCAAGACGGACCTGTCACTGTGCCACCCGCCGTTCATCATTGCCCTTGCATGCATCCACCTCGTTGCTCTCATGCGCCACCTGCCCCTCCTGCCCTGGCTCGAGGGCCTGCGCATCGACATGCACCGGGTAGGGGCTCTGCGTTTGTATGCACTGTGTATGGTGGAGGTGCATCAGGTATGGTGGAGGTGCATCAGGTATGGTGGAGGTGCATCAGCTATGGTGGAGGTGCATCAGGTATGGTGGAGGTGCATCAGGTATGGTGGAGGTGCATCAGGTATGGTGGAGGTGCATCAGGTATGGTGGAGGTGCATCAGGTATGGTGGAGGTGCATCAGGTATGGTGGAGGTGCATCAGGTATGGTGGAGGTGCATCAGGTATGTTGGAGGTGCATCAGGTATGGTGGAGGTGCATCAGGTATGGTGGAGGTGCATCAGGTATGGTGGAGGTGTGTCAGGTATGGTGGAGGTGCATCAGGTATGGTCACTGATGGTGCGTTTTGAATGGCTGGATGGGGGCAGGACTGATATGCACCAGATACGCTCTCCACCTTACCCTTCCCCTCATCCTCTCCTCTTTCTTTTCCTTGGCACATCACCCCCTTCCCTCATCGCCTCCTTTGCATCACCCCCACCCCTCACCACCCACAATGCAAGTCAGAGCAATGTCAACATCTCTTTTGGACCTGTATGAAGAATTCTCATCGCCCCCTTTCCCTCGTCAACCCCTCACCTGTTACCCCCTCCCCTCATCATCCACAATGCAGGTGAGGGCAGTGTCAACAGCGCTCTTGGACCTGTATGAGGAGTTCTCATTGCTCACAGTGGATCAGATCTCAGCTGCCTCATCATTGATCCATATCACCCTTTCACAACCTCCCTTGCGACCCCCTCCCCCCATTACTCTCCAGGTGAGGGCAGTGTCAACAGCGCTCTTGGACCTGTATGAGGAGTTCTCATCGCTCACAGAGGATCAGATCTCAGCTGCTGTCGGCAAACTGCCCATGCGCCTGCCCTAGCTGCCCATGCGCCTGCCCTAGCTGCCCATGCGCCTGCCCTAGCTGCCCATGCGCCTGCCGTAATTGCCTTTGCGCTTGTTCAGCTGCCCCACACCTAACAGTCATGCGAAATGTTAATCCTCATTCAGCTGGCAGTCTTTCGGAATAGATCTCTTTGCTTTCTGATGTAAATAAATGTACGTGTTCATAGTAAGACGATCGATCATCAGTCGCAATCGATGTGCGGATTGGTTACCCTATTTACCGTGCTCAAACATGCTATAGTACACTTTTTGGCCAACTTTTCTGTGAAGTGTGTAAATGTGACTGATCACTGATTGTGGGAGATCTGCCAGTTCTCAGGTGTGATCGTTACAACGTCGCGGTCGTCACGTTTCGCTAATCTATCTGCCCACTCGATTGTGGAGCTCGATATATGTAGACGACCCTGCGATATTTGCACTTTCACCACGTCCTTACAATCTGAGAATTGATAGATTTATCAAAATTAATTGGAGTCACCACTGCTAATGCACAGGTTACATAGGCTAGAGACTTTACCAACACATGCCGTCAGATTTCTGCCTAGATACAAGCTTGCAAGATGTTTGGAAAATTAAGTGTGGGTGAGAGAAGCAGCGGGCTTGATGCGCCTCAGAGTCGGGTAAATTCCTCCCCATTCCGACGCCTGAGGCGACTCAAGCTCGCCCTAAACAGTCCCGAAGAGTCCTCGCCAACGATCGTTAGCAGAGAAAACGTGTCGCCAGGCCTTTGTCATCGTGAGGGTAATACTGTAACACTGTAGGCTTCTTATCGCACGGACAGCACGGGCCGCTGATAACCAATAATGTCCACGCGTCCGGCTTTGGAAGCGTCGCCGCGATGGTCGCCGCGACAACCGCCAGTGTCATGCGCGCCGCGCGCAGCATCTTCTACCGGACGAACTTTCTGCGAAGCCTCCTTTTGAGCTGCCTGCCTCTCCTCTTCCTGCTTCAGCGACCGCTCGCGTCGCCAGGTGCGGAAGGTGCGGACAACGCTGCGGGGGCTCGCGGGTTGCGCGGGGAAGCCGATGGGGAGCGCGAACCAGGGGTGCGCAAGCACCTCGTCCACGGTCGGGCGCATGTGCGGGAGCGGCGAAACCATCCAGCGAATCAAATCCTTCGCCACCTCGGAAACCTTTCGCCAGCATGGTAACTCCCAGTCGACCGCGTCGTCGAGGCATCGCGAGCGGTGGAAGGCGGGCCACGTGCCCGAGAGCATCGCGTAGAGCGTCACGCCGAGGCTGAAGATGTCCGCTGATTGGTCGTACGCCTTATTCGCGAGCACCTCGGGCGCCTCGTACGGGAAGCTCCCCGCGTACCCCACCACGCGCTGCCCCGGCCGCAGCGCGAGCGACAGGCCGAAGTCCGCGAGCTTCGCGGAGGGCATGGTGGTTGAAGCGGAGGCGGCGGAGGGGGAAGCGGGAGGAGAGGCGGAGCGCGATCGCGCGCGGAGCGGGTTGAGCTGGAGCGAGGTGAAGGGGTGCTTGGGCGCGGGGGTGGGGCTCGCAGCGCGTGTATCGGCGGCGGATGCGGCGGTGGTTCCGGGGACGAGGAGGATATTTTCGGGCTTGATGTCGCGATGGATGATGCCGTTGTCGTGGCACTGCTTCACGCCACGTGTCACCTCGACAAACAGCCTCTGGGCTTCCATTTCTGGCAAGAGGCCTTTCTTTTGAATCAGGTTCAACAAATCCCCGCCATTGCAATACTCCATAACAACATAAACGGAGTCCGCGTCCTCGTAAATCCCTTGCAGCGAAACCACGTTGCGGTTACCCGAGAGCGTCGCCATGACTTCAATCTCGCGAACGGCGGCTTTAATCCCTTTTTCGCCCAGGCCCGTGAGGCTGATGTGCTTGCACGCGAAGAGGCGGCCCGAGTCGCGCTCCTCGCAGCGCCACACCGTGCCGTACTGCCCCTCGCCCAGCATGTCAATCAGCTCGTACCGCGCGGAAAGCTCGCTCGCGGGGAGCACTTCGAGGCTTTCGCGATCCATGGCTGCGACTCGGAGATTGTCTGGCCAGCAAAGTTTGACGACTGTGAGTGCGAGTATTGAGGAGGTGGTAGGCGTGGTTGGCATGTCACAGAGGTATGCGCGGGTTTGTATGTGGAGAGCTGAGAGCGACGAACGGGGTGGATGGTTGTGCGGGAGAAGTCACGGAGTAGAGTCCGAGCAGCTTGAGGTACCTGAAAACGACGGAAGCCTTTCTAGCCAAACAAGTTGCGTTGATCGAGCTTTTTTCTGTGCCGCAAGCTATGGATTGTTCAGCCGAACGATTATCGGGTTGGATGGAGTGATGGAAAATGAAGCACTGCATCTGTCTATTCGTAGTAACGGTGTTGCAGTTCGGTCGGGGAGGATGGTGGTGGGTGTGGCACTGGGGGTACAGTGGGTGGGTGGGTGGGGGAGAGGAGGACGAGCCGATTGCACGATTTGGAGTGTAGCGGCTGGGTGCGTTTGAAAATAGCGCAGCGCGAGTACCCCTGCCAGGCGAGGCCCTGCGCTCTCGCGCGAGTGAATCAGCGCCTCGGGAAGCGGCCGGGGAAACACCAGGCGCAGTCGTTCAAGCAATCTGGTTCAAAAACCGACGACTGGGAAGAGAAACGTCGGTGGCCAGGGGGGAACGTAGGGGAGGGGTAAACGCGTTTCCCGTCCCGTCCCTTCTCCTGTGGTTTTGTTCGTTCCTCGATCCCCTTTCCCTTGTGCTAGGTCGACAGCGCGCCTTCCGCCAGATATTGAAAGCTGGCTTGGGGGAATTTTGAACCTGGGAGAGTGAGGAGGGGAGGGGGGAGGGGGGAGGGAAGGGTTGGGGGGAGGATGATGGTTCTTGTCGGTGGCATGGCGATGCAGTGGAGTCGACTGCTGCAACACGTTTCGTTTCAACCAATAAACGATCACCGAAGCGAGGATGACAGCTCACAGTTGACAACTTCAAGCCGCGTGGTGATGCCATTCGCGCACTCGATCCGGCCGTCAAACCAGCTCACCTGCGGGTCATGCGCGGAAAGATGCTCAGGCAAGAAGCTTCTTCTAGGGAAACAAGGGCAGCATAGTACTACTCCTGATGCCTGTTTGAGCCCCTCCCGGTTGCCTTGTGAAGGGGGCATATAAGCTGTATCGTGCGTTTCGCATAAGTTCGTCAATTTCGCAGCTAGCTAAAAAGAACTCGCATGTGCTTATAAACAAGACCCTGCTACCTAGTTACCTAGTTTGACTTCAGTCTCTTCTGCTTGACTTCGGTCTCTTCTGCTTGACGTGCTTGTAATGTGGGTGCATGAAGCTGGGGAAACAACCTCGGGTGCAGCGTGTCCATCCGGCGCAAGGCAAATTCGCGCGCATGGGGTGAGCATCAGGTGTACCACGCTATTGGCTCGCCGCGGTGTAAATTTTGACCGCGTCAACTCCCAACTTCGCGCTCGTTTGTTCTCGTTGCGCTGACTCGGTCAAACGAAGCTGTTTGAAGGTGTGGGCAGGGCTGCCATCCATGCTATGCTTTGGTCGGTCGGCGGTGTACACACGATGCCCGGTTGAGCTCTCCGACCTTGCCTCACCTTCTGGGCTTATAAGCCGTTATTGCATTTCGCGGAGGTTTCGTTTTTTCGCTTGGGGCAAAAAGGGCTTATAAAAACTTTTGTAGCTCACCGTTGACTTTTTTACTGCAGCCTATTCAGTCAGACTTCAGTTTCTGTGGTTCGTATTGGTGGACATGCTTGTAACGTGGGTGCAACCTCACGGCACAAAACCCACGGGTGCAAGGTTTCATCTGGGACAAGGCAATTTTGCGTGCAGGGGGTGAGCATCATGTGTACGACGATACGATTCGCAGTTACTCCCACATTTGAGAGATGTGGCTGTGGGAGTGGCCAATCACCCTACTCAAAGTAGGAAACGGAGATCACCAAACGCACTCACAAATGAAACGAACTTCTCAACAAGACGACACGACAGCTGGTGGCAAGGGGACCCACTCGCCCACTGAACCACCATGGTTTGGGTCGGTGTGAACCAGTTTGGGATTTGCATGCCACTGTACCGAGTCAGTTAAGTATCCACCTATGCTAAACTTAAGTACACACCACCTTTCATCACCACCTTACAACATCACCACCTTACGTCTCACTAATATACTTTAGTTATGCATCATGAACGCGGATGGAATAGAGGTCGAGCCTGCTTGTGGTCAGATTGAGAAGGGGCACCGAAACGGCAGGGATTGAAAATTGCTTAGCAATAAGTTTTTTACAATACCTTCTGCTTATACCTTGATAAGACTACATTGATGAAAGCTTCGGCATCCATTTTGTGGTGTCATTCAAAGTAGTAGAAATCGTGTATGTATATTGTATGACAGCATCAGTTATAGAACATAGCCATGTAGAAGATACATGCCCCAAAAACATAACTCCAATAGTTTACTATGCGTTGGAGGCAGCTGCTCGCTGGAAACAGAACTCGTTCTCTTCTCAGCTTCTCGCCGTCTCTCCCGTAAATAATATGTCGCCAGTGTCCCTCCATTCACCGTTACCAGACCCCCTTCTGTACTGCTCTCATCTCATGTCGTGTGGCCTTGGTCATACCGACATGCAAGGAACGAACATTCCTCGTTGCAGCTGCCCGCGAATGTTGCCCAGGAACTTAAACGCCGACACTTGCACGTAATAGTTGGCGGGGTTTATATCAAGCTGCTTCAAAACGTTGGTAACCGTTTGCCCGTTGCTCGCCTTGGCGGAATCCGCCTGCTTGATCCACCCGACCGACTTGTACGTGATGCCATCGGCGCGCAGCGCGATCGTGGGCGTGCCCGGAATGGTCAAAATAGCATCGCCGGTTGCTCCCGCGGGGCCGTAGTTGAGAGTTTTGAAGAGCGGAAAGTAGAGATCGTTGGAGGTGAGCTCGAATTTGACGTCCGTGCCCTTGGTGCTCCTGTAGAGGGTAGAAGGTGGAACGGGGTTGCCAGCATAAGGGTGTGCCATACCATT